GGCTCAATGGATAGAGTGTCAGCTTGGGGACTGAAAGGTCCCGGGTTCGATTCTGGTCAAGGGCATGTACCTTGGTTGCGGGCATATCCCCAGTAGGGGGTATGCAAGAGGCAGCTGATCGATGACTCTCTCTCATTGATGTTTCTAACTCTCTATCTCTCTCCCTTCCTCTCTGTACAAAATCAATAATATATATATATAAAAAAAAGAAAATATGTTTAACAACATGGTAGCAGTTAAATGCAGAAATATATTAAAAAGATAATTCAGTATCCTTGGTTTTATCCTAGGAATGCAAAATAGTTTTAATATGAAAAAATGAATTAATGTATTTGACCTTGTTAACAGAATAAAGGAGAAAAATCATATTTCAATAAGTGCACCTTTCCCCCTTTACCATTATTACCAAAAATGCCCCCAAAAAAAGGCAAAATTCAATACCAATGATAAATACGCCCATGATTCAAGTATGATAAAGGATGTCTGAAAAAAACTATAGAATCTATAGTTAAAAGACTAAAAACATTCCCCATAAAATTAAGAACAAGGCCAAGGAACGCTGCTGTCACTTCTATTGAGCACTTTACTGAGGATCCTAGTCCGGACAATAAGTCTAGAAAAGAAAGAAGAGGCATACAGAGAGGGAAGAAAAAGTGTAATTGGCTTTACTCACCAGTGACCTGATTGCATACATATAAAGTCAAATATAATCTACTTTTTAAATGCTACCGCCAAAAAAAGTAACTTTTGGTGAGGTTACCAGAATCAAGTCAGGAAATAAAAATTTTAGAACATACAATGTATAAAATCCCCATACGTGGACTTATCCATACAATGAATTACCACTCCACATTAAAAAGAATGAAGTACTAAAACAACAACATGGCTGGATCTCAAAAACAATATAATTTTCCAGCATATAAGACAACTTTTGAAAGGAAAAAAAGTCTACCGAAAATCGGGGGCAAAAGACCAAAATTGCACAAAAATTACCTGCAGATCTTGACGGCAAAGTAAGTCTTTTCTTTGAAGATGGGGGGTAGTCTCATACAGTGAATATAGGCCTAACCCTATGTTTTAACTGTAAAATTAGGGGGTCGTCTTATACGCCGGAAAATACGGTACTTAAGGAAAGAAGCCAGACACTCAAGGTTACATATTATACAATTCTATTTATACGACATTCTAGAACAGGAAGAACTAAATCCACAGGGGCAGAAGGCGGATTGGTGGTTTCATTAGGCTGAAGGTTGGGGGATTAATTGCAAAGAGTAATGAAGGGATTTTCTAGGATGAATAAAAAAAATATATATATATAAATATATATATATATATATATATATATATATATATATATATATATATATATATATATATCTTTTTAGTGGTGGTGACCTTGGTGTATACATTTGTCAAAACTCATTGACCTGAGCATTTAAAATGATACTCAACTTAGGATGGATCAACTTACAATTTTTAAACTTTACCGTAGTGTGTAAGCAATACACAGTCAGTAGGAATATTTTGAATTTTGATCCTTTCTGGGCTAGTTAGCCTCCCCAATCCTGAGGGTAAATAACTGATAAATCTACAGCATAATCATTGTGCCATATGATTTTGCCCAACCGTAGGCTAATGTAAGTATTCTAAGAACCTTTAAGGTAGGCTAGGCTAAGCTAGGATGTTCAGTAGTCTAGGTCTATTAAATGCATTTTCAACTTATGATAGGTTTATGGGGGCCTAACCCATGGGAAAGTCAGGAGCATCTGTATTTTACTGTTTTTAAAGTAAACAATGGAATGAGGTGTGCTGTTGTTTTTGTTTAAGTTAATAGAAATGGAGGTGCCACTGCTAAACCAAAATAAACATAATGACTTGAAGTGCTGATGACTAATTTATTGGAAGCATTTAAGAGAGAAGTGTTGATCCACATGCTGCCTTCAGCACCTTTTCACACAAGGCTGGGGTGAGGCCCAGAGACAATGGCAAGAGCACCTGGCAGGGGTGGGGGTGGGGTGCGAGGGAGCAGGACTGGAGGAGAGTGGAGAGAGAACCTGAGTGTGTGTTTGCTCCTTCATGGTTAATGCCCTGTTGTGCACCTGCCAGCCAGTGTGCTGCTGACAATGCCCAGGAAATGCCAGTCCGCCCTCTGGCTGGCTCCCGGAAGCCCCTCTTTCTGGGAAGGAGGGTTGTGCAGCCCAGAGCTCCAGGCAACTGTCTCCATCTCTCCATCCATAACTTGAATATGATCTGACCGTGTCACCAACTGAATAATTTGAATATTACATGAATTTGTGTTCTGATATGTCTGCGGGTTTCTCAGAAACATTATTTGGAGAGCCATTCACACAGCAAATATGCATTAGGCACCTACCGTGTGCCAGAAACGGTGCTTGTGCCCGGGAGGGAAACACATGACACCTGGCACTCTGCCCTCAGGTGGTGGTTGAATGATCAGGAAGTTGAATTCAGAAGACCTAGTTCTCATCCTGATTCCGCCCTGCAGTCGCCCTAGTAACTCTGAACAAGTCATTTTACTTCTTAGGGCTTCGCTTCTGCCATCTTTCAAATTTTAGCTTTAAGAACTTGAAATAGTCTTTTAGTAATTTCCAGCTGGATGGCCACTGTTACTACCCACAGCTAACGGACCATAACCTTAGGGGAGCGTGTCTGGGAGGTTTATGCAAGAGTCACAGAGGACCTCGCCGCACTGCTCATGGCGCAGGGGCATCCTCTGTCCATTCAGGGCTTCTTCCCTTAGACCACGAGGCACAGCCTCGGTGGCACATCAGAATCTCCTGAGGACTTTTAAAAATTCTTGTTGCTGAGGCTGCACCTATCTTGGGGGAGGGAGGGTGGGTGGACCCAGGCATCAGTCACTGTTAGACACAATCATCCACTTATTTGTCCCTTCCCATACGTATTGCCATTTGACACATGGCACTGAATGCCATTTTGATAGTAGGTAGTGTTGCCGTGTATATTTCACAACTGCAGTTAGAGCAAGGCAGAGCATTAGAGTGAGCCCCTGGGCCACCCTCTATTTCTTTCACCCAGGAAAGAGGTTTTAGATCTCCATTGTCTGTTATTACCATGAATGGTGCTCCATTCTTGCACTCAGCCACCCTTATGAAATGTCTGCGATGTGCCATTCACTGTGTCCTGGAGGCTCTATGGAGAACAGAAATGAGCTAAGTGATGGCACTCGCATGTGCAGAGTCCCTGTGGCAGAGAGGAGCTTGGCCAATCAGAAGCATTGAGAGGGGATGTGTGTGGCTGAGGAGGAGGAGCTGTGGCCGCAGAGAGCATGTGAGGGAGCCACCCGCCGTGCATTGTCTCCAGACGTGGTGACTTTCAGCAATGTACTGATTGATGCTTTCCAACGACATTGAAAAGACATTGCCAGCCAAAGTAGTCTGAGAGCATTGTCGTGAGTCATATAGGAGAGGTGACCTAGGAGTGGCACAGTTGTATCTGGTTCCCTCCCAGACAAAACCGCAGGCCCTGACCAGGGTTATGGTCCTGATAGCAGGAGCTGATATGTACTGAAAGCCAGGGTTGTGCCAGGTACTGCTGTCAGCGCTGGATTGCTTCTTTGAATCTACATTACCAGCCTATGAGAGTTAAACTATTACTACTCCTTTTTGTGGATGATGAATAACATGGCGCAGTTACATGGCTACTACTAAGTGGTACATTGAACCCAAACAGTGTCTGTCTGTCTCTCTCTCTCTCTCTCTCTCTCTCTCTCTCTCTCTCTTTCTCTCTCTCTCTCTCTCTGGATGGCCAGTTGGTCACAGTGCTGTACTGATGCTGGAACATGGTGGTGGCTCTGCTTATGGCTCGTGTTGAGTTGATTTCTATTTATTCAGAGAAAATAGAAGCCAGGATGAGGGTTCAAATAGGTGTGACATGGTCAGGTGGCATTTCCCTCAATTTGCAGACAATGGACGGTTGACAAAGACACCTTCGCTCCTACACAGCAGTCGTAGGACAGTCCGCACAAGCAGGAAACAGAGGGAACGAAATGGACATTTCAGGGGAACGTTGGTATAACATAGTGACTGCTTTTGAGGCGGGTTGAATGAATTGACTTGCCTATGAGCTGTCAGAAATTTCCTTGCCTGAGGAGCACTTAGAACCTTCTTGGAAACAGGACTCAAGTGTTTAACTAGATTATTGTAAAGCCTGGATGCAAACTCACACATCCTGTACTCTGTGAGGAGAAACAAGAGTGCCCTAGAAAGTACATGGAAAATTACATGGAAATTGTGGTCTGATGCACACAAGCAGCCTGTGTATAACCCAGGGAAATAACTAAATTGCCAAGAGCCTTGGGTTGGTCTGGAATCATTATCATTATGATAATGATTATCAACACCATGTTGTAACAGTCTGTGTCTGGTACGTGAACCCATGTAAAAAAAGAGGAGCACGATTCTCTTTTAGTAGGTATCCTGAAATAGTCCATAGCCAAATCGATATTTGTTGAGTACCTGTCCTAATCCTAAGCAGGATCTCATTTAATGCTCAGACTAGCCCTGCCAACGGAAGTGAATCCCCATCCTTAGAGATAAGGAAACGGAGACCAAGACAGGCCAAGTAACGTGCCCAGCATCTCACAGTAGCCCGGGAGAAGGCTTAGGGTTTCTGATCCAAACTCCGCTTGGCTCCAGACCTAGTGTTCTTGGCTGCTCTCTATAAAAACGTGTCAATGAGAGTTCATGCCCATTGTCCATGATGCATTGACCAGAGTAACGAAAGGATCCTATTTTTTTGCAGACTCAGACATGAAAGTCTGATTGTCAGTTGGCTGCTGAAATTCAAATGTTGGCTGAAGAAGCAACATTAAATGCAGCCTTTGGTCTTTCCCTTTTTCATTGAAATCAAGCAAGATTCAGCTGCGGCTGTTTATCCTCACCCGCCTCGGAAGCCTGCCAGGCCCTCACCGCGTGTCAGGCAGGCAGAGCCGCTGGAGGTTGATTTCTTTTGTCCGACAGCTGCAGAACCAGGAGCTGCTGAGGGCCATGATGAAGAAGGCTGAGCTGGAAATCAGCGGCAGGGTGAGTGAAATGATGAAGAGGCTGGAGGACCCTGTGCAGCGCCAGCGCGTGCTGGTGGAGCAAGAGAGACAGAAGTACCTGCATGAAGAGGAGAAGATCGTCAAGAAGTTATGGTGAGTGCCCCTTGCTTGTTGCCTGTTTAGCTGTTGAACCGGAAAAGGAAGCCTGTCTTTGCCAAGGAGGAGGCCCTTCCTAGATGGCCTTCTCCCCCTCTCCCTTTATTGACCACCTACTATGGGCAAGCTAGAGTTCTGTGGCTCTGGCTGTCCATGGACTCTTGGCGCCCCTCGGCCCAGGCCCACGGAATTCAGCAATCCTCAGGTACCGGAGCTAGTCCTTTAAGGGATGGGAACATCACACACTTCTATAGGGCTCAGTCAGCAACACGGAATTAAAAGGAGCAAATGGCAAAACCCAGTGATGAACGGGGAGTCTGCATTTAAACTCAGTAAATCAAAACTAATTGTCAAAATAGCACAGCGCTGAAATTACCTTCCTATTATTCAACTGTAGTTAGAGTCACAAAAGAAGGATTTAAATGTAAAGTGTGTCTGATCCGGAGGAGAGATGCTTCCTTGAAAGTTCCCAGTCTTCCTTGAGGTTCTTATTGAAAGCATCGATCAAGCCCCTCCATTGAAGTGAGCAGGTTTATTACTCCCCAGTCATTGGGGCAGGCACATTTTTTATGTTAATGCCCGTCTTGTTATGCCATGGAGATTTATCACAGAACTATATATTTCGCCTCATAATATAATGAATAGTAATTGCGGTTCTTCTAGTGCTGGTAATTCTCTTTCTTCTTGGAGAGCTTAAACCCTCCAAATTGGGATCGTAAGGGAGCATCTTCCAAATTCTCTGTCTGCCCAGAACCCCAAAGGCTCCATGATGGAAAGCACTGTGCTCTGTCTCCTGTTGGATATTTGGGTTACAGCTTATCTCGCCTCAGATGCCAACCCAGTGGGTCTGACTGAAATTAGAGTGTCACTCTCAGTAGCAGTCTGAGAAAAAAACTGTTTCAGTTATTATTTTCAAAGAAGTCAATTTTGACCACTGTTCATCGCCATCTCAAAATATTGTGTTTAGCTCATACATTTATAGGTAGTTAACCTCTCACCATGAAGCAGTAAGGCTATTATTTGTCTGAAATGATTTTGGCCCAACTGTTTAAAAGTAGGTCTCAGGATTTTTCTTGAAAACTTCTTTTAAAATTTATAGCCTTTTTCTATTTTATGGATTCTCCAAATACATTATGAAAAGTAAATGTCCTCCTTTCAAATTTTGTATTTGTTGGTTAGCCGAGATAATTCTTGCTTCTTGACTAAAATGAGGCATCTTTGATCTCAATATTATCCTAGGACTAGGAGGCCAGCATGGGAATGAGATACCCAGGGGAGCGGAACCCACATGTCATGAGAGGACTTCCCCGGTGGCTTTGTGGGGCAGCCAATCATGAATAGGTTATGCACAAGCCACTGGAGGAAATTCAGTCTGGCAAAACAGGACATAGGAGTATGTGTATAGCACAAAACAGGTGGTTTACCTGTGCCAGGTTAACCTCTACAAAGGCTTCGAGCTCCGGGAACCAGGGAGACTTGGCCTGAAATTATTCTTCCTGTGCCTCCAGGCCAAGCACAGCACAGTAGGGCTTCACAAAGGTGTGTTACACTGAACTGAAATGGTCTTGAGGACTGGTGAGATTTCATCAGTGGAAGGGGATCCCTAAGTAGAGGAACCCTACAACCAGTAAGTCTTAGGACTAGGAAGGCACAGGACATCCTTGGAAAATCAGTACTCCAGGTGGGTGGAGCGTGGATACAAGATCCTAATCATGTCTCGTGTTTGGGTCGTGCTAGTTCTGTTTGGTGGTGCCTCCCCATATCTAGACCATGCTCACGCCCAGCATGCCTGCATGATGTCTGTTTGTTCTGTGTTAACCGAGATTGGAAGATCACGTAACTGGGTTTCTGGCTTTTCAAGAAAGTTCCTGGGTCCAACCCCTGGTTCAGGATTTCTCAGGTGGAGCTTAGGACTGTGCGTTTTACAAAGATACAGGGGAGATTCTGAATCATCTTCCCATTTGGGAGTTCCTGCCTGGCCTGATGTCACTGAAGCTTTTTTGATCAAGAAAGAAACAGATTCTGACTGTATTTCAGGTGGATCCCTCTGTCCATCGCATGCAGGGCTGACAGAGGGAGAAAGAAATTGTCTAAGACAAGGATTGGTCGCCAAACGGTGGTTCGAGGACCCCTGGTGGTCTGTGAGGTCCGAAAGGTTGGCGGCCGCTGGTCTAAGAAATCATATTGGGACTGACTTGAACAGTCCACACAAAAGTCAGTTAGAGCTGAGTCAAGTAGTAGAAATAGGAATGAGAAAATAAATGCAAACGGGATTGGATGGATCCGAGTGGTTACAAAAGACAGCTGGAAATTTCAACTCTGGAACCTTAGGAAAACAGTTGCACCTCTCCCTCCTCCTTTCCTGCCCCTCCCCCTCTCTTCCTTTCCTTGCCCCTCCTCCTCCCCACCTCTCTCCTTGCGCGCAGACACACACACACTCTCGCACTCACGCACTCACACACGCACACACACACATGAAAATAAGTCCCGTTGGGGATCATGTTAAGGCAAGTTGCTGGCAAGCCATTCAAATGGCAGAAAAATAAAATTTGGGCCTGGAACTATCGAGAGAGATTGGATCAAGAGAATTTCTCTTTGGTGGGTTTCTACATGGAAAAAATAATTGGGCTTCTGATAACAGTCAAATGAAATATATTTCAACAAACTAATACTTCTTTTTAACCAAGGCAGAATGAAAAGCAACATCAACAAATAGGATGGATTTACCTATAAAGCATAGCATCTGTGAACACCTGGAATTCTTTTGAGCAGAGTTTACATCCCCAAAGTCATATTAATTAGTATAATATTAAAAAATTATTTTTGGCATTCATTTTAGCTCCATGGTCTCCTTTTACATTTGGAGTGAACAAATTTTATCTGCATGCTTAATCTATAATAGAAGTATATGAAGAGAAATGGTATTATTGTACCATTTTTAGTACATATTTCTCTATGTTTTATGATCAATATAGGAAAAACTGACATGTAAGGCCCAACTGTGCTGGGCCTTTACAGTATTTATAAGCACCTGGAGCAAGGTTATAAAATCCAAGAGTCACATTGTGTGGAAGAGATTCAATTAGGATTTTAGGCTGACTGGTCAAATGACAGCTCCTTAGAGTATTAATTGCAACTTGGCCGGCTGCAGGATTATTAATGGAACCACGATAACATTTGGGTCTCAGCTCTTCCATCAAAGCTTAGGAGGACTGGGCAGCGTGTCCAATCTGTTAGGTTATGAAGTGGAAAAGGACGTTTCCTCACATATTTAGAACTCTTATGAGAGAGGGCACACATTCTCTCCACCTCAGGTGCAGGAGCTGTGGGACCGTTCCCGTGGGTTCACGTAAGCTGGGTGTCTGTCCCTGGTTTGTGAATGTGGACAGTGAGGAGATGGCTTTGCATTTCGGTTCTGAAGTTGCATCATCTTATCTGAAGGGATCATCAGCACTGTTGGCCCATTTTCCATAACAGAATGAAAGACATCAGCAAAAACTCCACCCCTCTTCTTGGAGGTGGACGAATCTGCTGCTTGCCCCATGGTCCTTGTGGAACCATGCGCCGTCCTGCCTGAATCACTCTCACAACTGTGGTGCCAGCCATCACTTCACCCACTCGTCCATCTGGTGGGAGGGTCTTGGTGGGCCACCTTTTTGCAAATACTGCCTTCCTTTTTTCTTCCTGCTGCTGCCTGCTCCACAGGACTCCACCGAGTAACAGCTTCACAGCTGTTCACTTACTGCCACCCAGTGGCTCTTCATCTCAAAGTTCTTTCCCTATTTCTATAATGGGGGGGGTGGGGGGTAGATTTACAGACAAACAAATGATACAAATGTGGCTTAGGAGAGGTTGTTAATGTTCCCAGGTGACAGGATGCTTTTTTTGTTTGTTTTTGAAGTGAAAGGCCTTAACTTAATTCTTTTGGAACTGGCAATACCCTAAGATGTGTGTGCACATATGAGGGTGAGTGAGTGTGGAGTGTGTAAGTGTGTGTGTGTGTGTGTGTGTGTGTGTGTGTGTGTGTGTGAGAGAGAGAGAGAGAGAGAGAGAGAGAGAGAGAGAGAGATAATAAAGTCTGGATCATTTCTTCTCTTTGTAGCTTGGAAAGAAAAGGCAGTCTTTATTGATGGGACGATCAGTATAAACCAGAGGTTGGATCGGGGCACGTTTGTTCCCCTCTCCCAAGGACATCTAATGCGCAGAGACATTCTTGTTTGTCACAGATGGGGGAAGTGCTCCTGGCACCCCGTGCACAGAAACAGGGGTGCTGCCAAACACCCTCAAATGCCCAGGACAGGCCCCACTACAGAGAATTGTCTGGTCCCAAAGGTCAAGTGCCAAATTGAGAAGAAGCCTGATCTGGGCTCTCATTTTACTCCACTACAGCATATATATTCATATTCTCTCTCTCTCTCTCTCTCTCTCTCTCTCTCTCTCTCTCTCTCTCTCTCTCTCTCTCTCTCTTTTCTCTCCTCTCTCTCTTTCTCTATCTCCCTAACCCTTCTCTTCTCTTCTCTTCTCTTCTCTTCTCTTCTCTTCTCTTCTCTTCTCTTCTCTTCTCTTCTCTTCTCTTCTCTTCTCTTCATCTCTCTCACTCTCTTTTTCTCCCCCTTCCTCTCTTTCTCTCTCTCTTTCTCTATCTCCCTACCCTCTCTCCTCCCCTCCCCTCCCCTCCCCTCCCCTCCCCTCCCCTCCCCTCCCCTCCCCTCCCCTCCCCTCCCCTCCCCTCCTCTTCTCTTCTCTCTCTCTCTCTCTTTCTCTCTCTCTCTCTCTCTCTCTCTCTCTTTCTCCCCCCCCTTCCTCTCCTTCTCTCTCTCTTTCTCTATCTCCCTACTCTCTCCTCTCTTCTCTTCTCGTCTCGTCTCGTCTCTTCTCTTCTCTTCTCCCTCCCTCCCTCCCTCCCTTTCTCCTTCCCTCCCTCCCTCCTTCCTCCCTTCCTCTCCTTCTCTCTCTCTCTCTATCTCCCTACCCCCCCTCTCTCCCCCTCTCCCTCTCCTTCTCTCTCTCCCTTCCCCCCCCCCTCTCTATTGTCACAAAGTGCACTCATCCCCCTTCGTTGGCATCAGCGCCACTGAAGATGAAGAGTGGGTCCTTTGTCAGCCAGCTGCCACCTTCCCTGTGGCCGCCCTGGGCCACTCCACAAACCTGCCTGCACGGCGCTAACATGTGCTCCCGCCTCTGGGTGGCAGGCAGGTGGCTGGGACACTGCACAGCGGGAGCCCAGGTGCACCTGGGCCCTGCGCCTGTGCTTGGTCAGCCCTCGGTGTTCACGCTCTGTGGTGTGCTTGCACCCCTCCTCCCCCCCCCCCCCCCCCCCAGTGAGCTGGAGGACTTGGTGAAAGACCTGAAGAAGGACTCTGCATCAGCCAGCCGAATGGTCACCTTAAAAGACGTGGAAGATGGGGCGTTCCTCCTGCGACAAGTGGGGGAAGCGGTAGCTGCCCTGAAAGGTGAGCTTCCTCGGGGTTATGGAAGCCTGTCCCACAGGGAGGGCTTTGCTCCCTCACTCACTTCCTCAGGCCCGGGCCCACCAAGCACCTCCAGGGGTCAGGCACGGGACCCAGGCCTTCCTGTCTTCTTGACGCTTCTCCTGTGGTGGGCGCTGTCAGATTTAGGGCTATAGGATAATACCACTCCTCACGGACTCTTACAACAACCAGCACCTGTGCCAAGTTCCTTAAACACAACCCCAAGGGACAGCTCGCCTCATCCCAAGTTCACAGACGAGAAAGAAGGCCCGGGTTATTTTGAACCCATCTGTCCACCCACTTGTTCTCCCTGAAGATGTGTGAACAGCGCTGTGGCTGGGGAACCCCACGCGCTGCGCCCTCTTCAGGGTCGGGTGCGGGGTGGGGGCTTGCTGTTCTGTTTCTCCCACCGCTCACCCTCTGCTCTCCGCGGCAGGAGAGTTCCCGACCTTACAGAACAAGATGCGAGCCATCCTGCGGGTGGAGGTGGAGGCCGTGCGCTTCCTGAAGGAGGAGCCGCACCGGCTGGACTGCCTCCTGCAGAGAGTGCGGAGCATGACCGACACCCTGACCCTGCTGCGCAGGTGACTGCTGTGGGCGTGCAGAGGGCGGGGCGGGGCGGGGCATGCGGGGGTGCGGGGAGGGCTGGGGCCTATGGTTTGGACTCCCAGGCTTCCTCTGTGCTCCTGGGACCCCGGGACATGGCACATCTTACTCCCCGTGCCCTGAGGAGAAGCCACGCTCCCTTCCCACGTGGAGCTTCCGTTGTGCGCGTGGCTTGGAGTCCTGAGCCTTCAGCAGGGCCTGCTGCATCCGGCACATGCGAGGGCTTGCCATTCACTAGTCAACTCAGTCAGCATTTTAAGAAAATTATCTGAAGAACGGATCAAAATATATTATTAGCCTCCTTCACTGCAGGGGCATAGATGACTTTCAGTTCAAAGAAAATGAACGGAAATAAAGCCTTTCTTGAGTTTCCTGCTCCAAGAGCACCTGAGAGGTGTTGATCCGATCTGGAAAAGAGAAACAAACCCCCTTGCGTGGCGTAGCCAGTCACCCTTGCCTGCCCGTAAAAGAGGGTCACAGCAGAAGAAAAACTAAACTAAATCACCGAGTCACCCAGGACTTCCCTTGAGAAGAAAATTCCTATATTCACATAGAAAGTGCTGACACAGGCAGGATTGTGTTGCCAGAAGCACCTTTATACATGCCGTCTCGTGTACGCTGTCTTGGGTGACAATTAGATCTCTTTCTTCTCAGCACACTCAAAACAATAGCTCATGTCAGTGAGCACTTCCTATGTACCAGGCACTGAACTAAGCCTTTGTAAGTATTAGCTCACTCTCCTAACTTGCAATCCTATGTGGCGGGCATTCTCATTCCCATTGTCTAGGGAGAATCTGAGCTTCGAGGAAGTTCACTGCAAGTCAGAGGTGGGGCCGGGAGAGGAACTGATAGGTTGACTCCAGCGAGCAGAGTTGGTTCTGATCTCACGCCCAGGCAGTCAGTAATGTTTGGACAGTCTGCCTGTCCTGCCTGTCCCTATTATATAGTCCTATATAATAAAAGGCTAATTTGCAAATAGATCAAATGGCAGAATGATTGGTCACCATGAGGCACACTGACTACCAGAGGCAGATGCTCAACACAGGAGCTGCTCCATAGTGTTCAGTGCTCTCCCACAGGGGAGCGCCGCTCAGCCAGAAGCCCAGAAGCTGGGCTCACAGGCCTAAGCCATCAGTCAAACATCCCCAAGGACTCCCAGACTGCAAGAGGTCTCAGGCCAGGCTAAGAGACATAACCCCTCACCTGCACAAATTTTGTGTACCAGGCCTCTAATATGATAATAAAAACAAACAAGAACCCTGTCCTTATAAAACTTCCTCTCTTGCATGGGAAGTAGACGCAACTACCAAAACTAAACCAGTTTCCAACAGTGGCAGACCCTGCATTTTCTGTTTTTAATAGAACTAGGAAATTGTAGAGACATTACCCTTCAGCTCTTAGGCCAGATTTGAGAGCAGGTCACAGACAGAAGGAACAAATAAGACAGCTTCTTGGGAGAATTTTAGTCATTAACTGTAACCATGTGATCAGATTTATAAGATAAATAAATGTGCAGCTGACTTTCAGCTAAATTATTAACCATAGGAACAAGTGAGATTTTTCTAGTAACAGTGACCTTAAGAAAAGGCCACCTTTGTGATGAAAGCATCGCCTGCATAAGTTCCCGAAGGAATTCTGAAATCCAGCAGTGGCTTCCTGCAGAGACCACCTCTGACTGAGTACAGGAAGAAATTGCACCTGAGTCACATCTTCTCATAGGTGCTCTCAGTTGCCAGAGTGAACCTTTTCTTCCAGCAGGATAAAAATCTGGTAAAAGAATTCTTCATTAAGCTCTTCCCTAAATGTGGTAACCCATCTGCAAAGCCCAGAACAAGCCACCCTTATTAAGTGGAAACAGATAGCGGCTGGCAGACAGCACGGCCCCTTCTCCCTTCTCTCCCTGTAAAACAATGAAAACAAAGTGTTAGAGCCAGCACAGAGGAGGGAGCCCAGTGCTTGCCTTATTTCCAGGGAACCAAGTTCTAAAAACAATGAGATGTGTATTTTGAATGTTAGAGGACTTTTTACCCCATAAATGCTCAGTGGTCAGAATGACAAACCCAGGTAAGTTACTTTTAAAATAAAAATAAAAGAAATCTTAGCTGCCATCCGGCTGCCCATCAAAAGTGTTCACACTGTTCATTGGTATTGGTGTCTGGCATGTGGAATGTGCTGTATCCGGCACTGGGGAGGTGCCGTGAGGAAGACAGGACGTGCCTGTGTCCTGATGTCATGGCCGGGGAGATGACACAGGTGACAGTCACAGTCAGAGCAACTCAGCAGCTCGGGAAGATGCTGAAATGTTTTGATATGTGTTGCCTTTGAGGTGCTAGAAAAGAAAACCTAACACAGCTGCTCACTAGGCACTTAGGAATGTGGACTGAAGTTCAGGAGAGAGAGACAGAGGGGTGTCCCTGCCTAGCTGGTAGGGGAGGAGGGAGCAGGGAGGAGGAAGGGGAGAGAGATTTAGAGTCAGCAGCTGCCTTCGTGAAGATGATTATTTGAAGTAGAAGACATGGCTATGGTAGAGTGAGAGGGAAAGGCGGGAAGAGGTCCATGGACATCCTCGGGGCTGAGGAACAGGGTAGGGAAACTAAGCAGCAAAAGGAACAGAGACGTGAGGAGCAGGGCAGACTCAGAATATAGTCTTTTTTTTTTTTTTTTCTTCAAATCAAAAAGAGCATTTCAGTAAGAAGGGAAAGAGACTAATCAAAAATTACAGGTCAGGTACAAGTCTCACATTGTCTCACATACTAGCATGTAACTTTACACTGAGCCGAACAACCACCCAAAGGAAGACGTCATCAGCTGTCGGCATTATCACGTTCTATGGAAAAGTATCTGAAACTCAAAAAGGTGACATCCCTGGTATTATGGCAGTAGAACATGGCAGAACTGATGTTCAGACCAAGGTCTGTCTGACCCCAATGCCATGTCTTTCTCGCTGCACCATGGGTGTCAGTGGACAAAGAGCATCACATGACCCCAAAAGCAGAAGAGCATCATGAGGACTAACCCAGCTGCTCGATTTGGTGTCTTGGTGACCTTGCAGAAATCGTGGCCCAGACCTGACAAGGAAGCCAGCTTGCACCAGGGATAGTGAGCAGAAGGCATTAGAACATAGACTGCCCTCCTGAGCCATTTGAAGTGAAAGGAGCAGCATCTGGGGTGTCAGGAAGCGTTGGGGATCAGAACTGCATCTGTGAGGGCTCTCCAGGCCGGGGCCAGCTGGAGGAGACACTGTTAGAATCATGTGACCACTTCATGCCACCTCCACCCAAAGCAGTGATGGATTGTGTGTCAGGGCACAGCAGTGAAGTGGACAGAGCAAAGCAGGCCACCACCTGAGGATATGACGGAGAAAGCAGCTGCCAGAGATAAGTAGGAGGAAATTTACTCGTTGGGAAGTAGCTATGGAAACCCTCAACCCTGAGCTGCTACTCTGAGCGTTAGAATGTTTTAATTTTGCAACAAAATCTTGCCTGGCTTTGGGATGGCACTGCATTCACTTGTACCATAATAATAAAATGAGCCGAAACGGGTTTGGCTCAGTGGATAGAACGTCGGTCTGCAGACTCAAGGGTCTCAGGTTTAATTCTGGTCAAGGGCATGTACCTTGGTTGCGGGCACCTCCCCAGTAGGAGGTATGCAGGAGGCAGCTGTTTGATGTTTCTCTCATCGATGTTTCTAGCTCTCTAATCCTCTCCCTTCCTCTCTGTAAATAATCAATAAAATATATATTTTTTTAAAAATAGTAATAATAAAACGAAAGTCGCCCACTTTCATAGCTGTGCATGCTTCCTCCTAGACATGTCACCGATGGGCTCTTGAAAGGGACAGATGCAGCCGAGGCCGCACAGTACGTGGCCATGGAGAAGGCCACCGCCGCAGAAGTCCTGGCGACCCAGCCCCTCCACGGCGCAGCAGTCCCTCGAGACGTGAAGTCGGAAGTGGTGCCCTTGACGGTTCACCATGTACAGAGCTCTCCTGTGGTCACCCAGCCCTCCCAGCTCTCCTCCGCCCCACCCAACCCTGCCCAGCACCCGACCAGCCCTCCAGCTGTCACACAGGAAGTGACCTCCGCTCCCCAGTCATCACAGGCAACTCAGTCCCCGCAGGCGCCCGTGAATGGCTCCTCCATGCAGAACTTGTTCATTGAGGAAATCCACAGTGTGAGTGCCAGGAACAGGGCGGTGTCTATTGAGGTAGAGTCCTACTTCCATTTTTTTGTAGCCCCATAGAGGAGTGTAACTCATAGTCCTTTCCCTTGAAGAATTTACAGCCTGGCTGTAGAGATAGCACATGCATGTATCTGATTTACATTTTTTGTGAAAATGTGTTTATATTTTCTATATATAGTAGAGGCCTGCTGCACAACATTTGTGCATAAGAGGGTCCCCTCTGCCCAGCCTTCACCCTGTCCAATCTGGGACCCCTCGGGGGTTGTCCGACTGCCGGTTTAGGCCCAATCTCCAGGATAGGGCCTAAACCGGCAGTCGGACATCCCTCTCACAATCCTGGGCTGCTGGCTCTTAATTGCTCACCTGCCTGCCTGCCTGGTCACCCCTTACTGCTCCCCCCCCCTACCCACCCCACGCCACTGGCCTGATCGCCCCTCATTGCCTCTACAGGCTGGCCTAATCACCCCTAACTGCCCCTCCAACTGCCTCTCTCCCTACCAGCCGTATTGCCCCCAGCTGCCCCCTCCCTGCAAGCCTGGTTGCTTCTAACTGCCCCCCCCAACCTGGTTGCCCCCAGCTGCCCCCCACTGACCTGGTTGCTCCTCACACGTCGGCCCTTCCCCCTACCCCCCCCCCACTGGCCTGATTGTCCCACACTGGTTGCCCCACACATCCTGCTGTTAAGTTGTTTGGTCGTCCCACACTAACCCCCCTACCAACCTGGTCATAAGCAGCCATCTTGTGACAGTGTGATGGTCAATTTGCATGTTACCCTTATATAGAATATACTGTCCCAAGAAATGTATGCACACTCTGAGTGATTATAAAATCAGTGTTTATCAACATATAGTTCATTTTCAATTTTTAAAAGAATCTACAAAAATGAGTAACTTTTTGTCAATGCCTGTTTTCAAACTAATGATCATTTTTGCCCAAGCACTGCTGATAACGCAAAGCAATAGAACTGCAAACATCAAGAATTATCTTATGTGGAATTTTGTGCCCTCAATTCAATTGTTGCTGGTTTTGTACTATAAACAGGTCATCTAAGTAATCTCACCCCCAAATCCCCGTTTTTCTAAGTAAGAAAATGTGTCCCAGTAGCCATATAGCAAGTCTTTGACAGAAGTGGAACCAAGACATGGGATTCTTTGCTCCCAGTGAGTGTTTTGGTATTTATTTCTGTTTGTTTGAACATCTCTACAATTAAAACTCAATTTAGAAAACAAAAACTTGGTTATGGATACTTACCTGGGATAGTGTACTCTTGGTAGAAGTATTTGGATTATGTACTGTTGGTAGAAGTATTTGGTAAGTGCTCAGTCATCATTTAATGAGTGAATATGATTTCTGAGCTTGCTGCAATAGGAATGAGTGTAGCCCATTTAGCTGTAGAAGAGGCAGCAGACAGCAGATTGGTCTGATTTGCCAGGTGCTCCTCAGCACACAACCCAGAGCGTTATTTTGCTAACACTTTAACTGTGTTACATCCCCTCCCACCCAACAGGAAATCTCTAAACAATTAATGAGCTTTTCCCTCTGTTTTTAACAACTTTCTTCACCTGCTCTTTTCCTTCAGCAAGCAGAAAGGAAGTGGGAAGAGAAAAGACAAAACCTGGACCACTATAATGGGAAAGAGTTTGAGAAGCTCCTGGAAGAAGCTCAGGCCAATATCATGAAGTCAATTCCAAACCTAGAGATGCCCCCAAAGCCCAAGGGTGACGTCCCCGGGGACAGGCTGGAGCTCTCCGGTAAGGTGCTGACCGCTGCGCTGGCTGCCCTGGGCCAGGGGGGCCGAGCTCTCACAATCTCCCGGTGTCCCTAGGGCCTCCCTGCTGCTTTGAAACCGTAACCATAGCCATAGTAGGGAAGCTGTTCTATGTTAGGATGCTAGAACAATGCCCAGCAAGGAACTTTTAGATTTCCCAGCTTCTACATTTCCTGTGAATTCATGACACTTCCCAGCAGCAGCTGGGAGAGTGTGAGGCCTGCATTCAAAGCAGGAGTTGTTCATAGGCTGCGGGAAAGAAGTGCCAGCTTTTATGGGCTCCCAGGGGGAGAGTAGCTTGTAAGATGAAATCGTATTTTTTAAATCAAAATTATTAAATTGTAAATTTAACCAACTGAACTATGGAAGTTAAGCCTCAATATGTCAGTAGTAATATAAAATAACTTTTAAAAAAAAATTTCAGCCTACGAAACAATTACAAGCCTTGTGCTTTATTCTGATATTAAAATTATATGACATCTACCCTGGCCAGGTGGCTCAGTTGGTTGGAGTTCCATCCCATACACCAAAAGACTGAGGGTGTGATTCCTTGGTCAGAGCATTTAGAGAAGGCAACCAATCGATATTTCTCTCTCACATCAATGGTTCTCTCTCTAAAAGAAAAAAAAAATCAATAAAAATCCTGAAGTTAGGATGAGGATTAAAAAAAAAAAAGTTATGTGACATCATTGTTTATTTGTGGCCCCAATGTGTCATACTCAATGAATGAGATCTCGTCCAGCAACTAAAATTAATTTGAAATGGAATCACCATCTTGACTTGTCAAGGAAATTTATAACTGTAACACTCCAGGTTTTCATTCCACAAAGCTGCTCTAAAACCCCTCACTGAAAGTCTCCCCCTCACTCTGTGCTAAGAGGCATTTTTCACCTCCTTCCCTACCTGCCAGTTCCGAGAGGCCTGGCGAGGCCTTGGAGGGTCAGCCATGCAGATCAGAGAGGAGAGGGCCCTGGGAGGGGCGGGTCTGCTCTCACCACCCCGGCATTTCTCCCAAAGTTCCCATGGAGAATTTTTAATGGATAATATGATCTACCTCATTGCATCTCTCTCTTTCCTAATTCACTCTTCCCATTATTAGTTTTTGTCATAGAGTCTCCTCTGATGTTTTAAAATTACAAATAAGTTATAAATTTAGAATGAGATGTTAGAGAGGAGGAAGGGAGTAGGAATTGGATGAATGACAGTGAGGAGATTAGCCAAAGAACATGTATGGATAATCCGTAGACACAGACAACAGTGTGGTGGTGGCCGGACGGGAGGGGGATGGACTGGGTGGAGGGGGGAAAAGGGGGCATATGGGGACATCCATAATAGTGTCAACAATAAAAATAAAGTAAAAAAAGAAAAGAAAAGAAAAATGTTATATGTTTAGAATGATAAATAAATTTTAATTGTTCCTTCTCCTGGTTATACAACAAAAATAGTAACAATACATTTTACTAACCTCATTTGGGATTTTTATTCTTTCAGATTTAAAAAAAAAAAGTTTGCATAAATTATATTTTTAATTACTCCCCAGAGTATCTTCACTCAGTTAAAGTGTTCTTACTGTTGTTGTTTTCTTTTTTAACATGTGGCCTGGTTTCTTGTCAGAAATAGTCTACTGATGTCCAGGCCACTAGAAGTGGGTGAGGGTATCATCCATTCTCTGTAAACTTTGATTTCTATTATTTTTCTTTATTTGTCATGAATATTATTGCTTTTATTTTTATCTACTAATGGGGTAAAATTGTAAGCTTAGGGTTTTAAAAAATCATTTGTATTTCCTTTTGGGTGAATTGTCTGCCTGTATATACAATGGGGAAGGATGGATAGCTCCCAAAAATATGAATGGAAAATTTGGGCGATGGTGGCCTCAGTCAGTGGTAAAGCAAAAGCATTCACAAAGACAGCTGTTTAAAAACATCAAGGAAGACTTTATTCAAGACTCTTGCAAAGGAGGAGAGAGACTGACTCAACTCTGGCTGTTGCAGGCAGGATTTCTGCGAAAGGCAGGCTCAGGGCTTAGATATCAGGGTGGGGAATGAAGAACTCAGGTATCAAGAATGGGGGATTCTTGCTAACTGGATTCTTTGCTAAAGCTTGGCTCAGCAGATCAAGGTCAGGGCTAGTAAGAAGGTCAGGGCTAGTGAGAAGAGGGCTGAGAGGAGCTTGAATAAGTTGCTCAAGGAGGGAGTCTATCATCACACCTGAGGGGAGAGAACTGGTTCGGCCAGCATGTGCTGAGGCATGTGGCCCGCCGACCTCGAGTCTGACATGCTTGCAAGAGGGACCCAATCTGGAGGTAACCATCCCGAGGCCAGGCTGCTGGCATAAGAGCCAGCGAGCCCTGATGCTGTAGGGCCCTGTAACCAACCCAGCACCCTCATGCATGAGACAGGAACTGTCCACCATGAATAATCACTGGCATGTCTTCCTCATGATTTCCCAAGTCTGTCACAACTTTATTTTTTTTAAATACATTTTTATTGATTTCAGAGAGGAAAGAAGAGGGACAGAGAGAGAAAAAACATCAATTGCGAGAGAGAACATTGATCGTCTGCCTTCTGCCTACCCCACACTGGGGATTGAGCCTACAACCTGGGCATGTTCCCTGACGGGAAATCAAACTCTGACCTCCTGGTTCATAGGTTGATGCTCAACCACTGAGCCACCAGTCGGGCAAGTCTGTCACCACTATAAATGGGAACGCGTCAAACGTTCTAAAGAACTCTCTGCTCAGAAAACGCAAACACTCCAGTCCCTAGAGAGGGTTTGGAAAAGCCCACTACAAGCATTGACCCTGAATTTCTGGTTCTACCACTTTAGTGAGCTGCTGGGCAGAGTGTTTGTAAAGGGCTGGAGTGGGGAAGGTTGGTGAAGGGATTTGCAATGAGCCTCTTTCTGAGCATTTTCCTGGGGAAAGCCAAGTAGATAGCAATACTAATTTATAATCCTCTCTGTACTGCATCTGCTGTCTCTGTTCTTTAGCAGAGAGCCTTTTTCAAGCCCATAGCCATGATCAAAGCCCCCACTTTCCCCGTGATTTTGTCCTCTGTTCCCATGTGCTCCCCAGTTTCCCTCTGCCCTCTCCTTGGCCATATTCTACTCTAGCACACCCCTGCCCGGTGCCTCCTCCGAAGGCTGTTTTTTGCCTGGGGGTTGGGGGCTTTGGAGGCCATGCAGGGATCTGCATTTGCCTTTAGGTCTGATCACTCATCCCTCCAAGGTAACTTTTTTTGTTTAATATTTATCATAAGCCAGTAAGCACTGTGCTTTATGTATTATAGTAATCCTCAGGGCACCCCAATGGAGAAGCACTTGTTATAATACTCATTTAACAGATGAGAAAACTAAGGCAGAGAGGGGTTAATTAGCTTGTGAAAGGTCCTTCCAGGATTACAAGTCAGTTTGGCTGCAGGGTTTTTACCATTAATTTTTGCACTAATATAGAGAAAATTTTGCATCAGAACGTCTCAAGGTTATAGGAATACACCGGACTCTTGAGCGTCATCTTGAAAGGAGATGATTGTGCAGTGGCTCATTGTTTTACAGAAGACTCTCCAAGTTCCGAGCAGGACTTGGACAGGTTGGGGGGCAAGTCCCCACCTCCTCCTCCCCCGCCCCCGAGACGGAGCTATCTGCCAGGATCCGGGCTCACCACCACCAGGACTGGCGAAGTGGTCTACCCCAGCAGGAAGGAGAACACCATCACTAAGGTGAGATGGGTTAAGGCTTGGCAAACTGGTCACTGGGTTCATACGATTCCCTTACATAAGGTCACTGGGTTCATATGTCTGCTCTCATTTAGAACATAAAAAGTACTGAGGGAGAGAATCAAATAAAACTAGATGGGCAGGAATACCACCGATGGAAAAACATCAGCCAGTGCTACTAGACTAGATGCAGCAAATCTAGTGTTATCCTTACTTGACTTTTAGCTGCAGTGATGTGAAATGCAAATCATAAGCTACTTGCCCAGCAGGTCATCATGAGATTGAAAGTAAGGGTAGCAAAGGGAATCAAAAGAAAGACCACCTTACAAAGATAACTGGGATGAGCTAACATGGTTGAGAAAGTCCATACAGAGAAATGCTTAATAAGCTTTAGCTTGCACAGAACTTGGCATGTTTTATCTTTTACTAGAGGCCCAGTGCACAAAATTCATGCACGGAGGGGTGTGATCCTCAGCCTAGCCTACACCCTCTTCAATCCGGGACCCCTTGAGGGATGTCTGACTGCCTCTCACAATCCAGGACTGGTGGCTCCCAACTGTTCACCTGCCTGCCTTCCTGATTGCCCCTAACCACTTCTGCCTGCCAGTTTGATCACCCCCCTACCACTCCTCTGCCAGCCTGATTGCCACTAACTGCCCTGCCCTGCAGGCTTGGTCATCCCTAATTGCCCTCCCCTGCAGGCCTAGTCTCCCCCCACCACCCTCGACTCAACTGCCTTCCTTTGTAGGCCTTGTTCCCCCCAACTGCTCTCCCCTACAGGCCTGGGTCGTCCCCCCCCCCCCCCCAACTGCCTTTCCCTGCAGGCCCAGTCATCCCCAACTTCCCTCTTCTGTCAGCTTGGTCACCCCTAACTGTCCTCCCCTGCTGGCCTGATCACCCACAACTGCCCTCCCTTACAGGCCTGGTCCCTCCCAACTGCCCTCACCTGCTAGCCATCTTGTGGTGGGCATCTTGTGTCCACGAGTTGGCAGGATCTTTGACCACATGGGGGCAGCCATCTTGTGTGTCAGAGTGATGGTCAATTTGCATATTACTTTTTTATTAGATAGGATAGAGGCCTGGTGCATGGGGGAAGGGGGGGCAGCTGGTTTGCCCTGAAAGGGTGTCCTGGATCAGGGTGGGGGTTCTCTTGGGACATGGGGTCGCCTGGATGAGGGGCCTGTGGTGGTTTGCAGGCCAGCCACACACACCGCAGGTGACCCCAGTGGAGGCCCTGGTATCTGGGATTTATTTATCTTCTATAATTGAAACTTTTTAGCCTTGAGTGGAGGCCAGGGTGGGGAAGGAAGCTTGGCTTCCTCAATTGCCAGGGGAAACCCAAGCCTCCTGCTCTCTAGCTCCATGGCTGCTGCCATTTTTGTTGGGTTAATTTGCATACTCGTTTCTGATTGACTGGTAGGTGTGGCTTGTGGGTGTAGTGGAGGTACTGTCAATTTGCATGTTTCTCTTTTATTAGACAGTATGTTCAATGTAAAATTCAAGTTTCAAGGAGAGATAGTATAGCAGAACCTTTCTTACAGGCACTGAATGGTGAGAAGTTATAATTTTATTATAATTCTTCAATCCGTTCACAAAAACCTAAACTAAATGCAAGTGGACAAAATAGCCCTTCAACTCAATTCGAAGAGCTAGGAAGTCAGTTTAGTAGGCAGTGAAGGAACATGAGGTCCTCTTTGGTCACACCCTCTTTTTGCCAGACCTGGGGGTGTTTAGCCAACATCTGTGGCTTGAATCTTCCACAGGTAAGCAGTGAAGATGCCGGACCAAGCCTGCAGGCTAGAGCCACAAAGTGCCCAGCAGAGGAGACTGCTTCATCATGGACTCCATCCCCAACACCAGTCACTACCTGCTCCTCAAAGGATGAGGAAGAGGAAGAAGAAGGAGACAAAATCATGGCAGAACTCCAGGTATGTGGTTGCAGTGACTGACCGTGGCTCCTTGCTCTTCCCATCAGGGATTCTGCCTACATCTCTCAACAGACTCATTGGCTAGAGAAGGCTCTAGCCAATGCTCTAGAAGTGCTCTCGGCACACCTTTTGATGTGTATAAGGAATGACCATTTCATGGAACAACTCAAAAAGAGTACACAAAAAAATCAATTGCAAGCTTTTCTAGCGCTAGAATTTACTTTTCTTCCTCTTTGTTGATAGTCTGTTTCCCTTAAATAATAATTTAAGAGGAAATCAGAAACATTGGCCATGGTTTCTCTTACTAAGAACTGCTGAACTCCCAATTCAGGCGGGTCCTATTACTTGGCCTTGATATTTACAATGACTGAACTTGAGTCTTGTGGCCACCTTCACTCCATACAAGGTTCCCATTCAATGTCAACTTCATCTTTCCAAATATTCTGAAAAGCCAAATAGTCTTATTTATCATTTTCCTTGCCTATTTAAGAAATTGTTATTTTTAATTTTTGGCTTGTAACTAATTGCCACAATCCACTCATAGGATTAAGGATGGGGTGCTGGGGCTATACCCAAAACTGATCCCACATTCGAATTATGGGCGTGATTCTGCCCTGCGTATATGTTCTGAGAACTTAACTAACAGAAGACATATGCATAATGCTTAGACCAAAGTCTGTTCATAGAGTATTTCATTTTGACTCATGCTGATGATAGAATTTTTGGGGTCCTTCAGACGGTAAGATCACAACTTTCTTGGGGCTTCAACACAAGTTACTTTTCAGCATTGTACCCAGGGTTGTGTGCAGGCCCGAGGATCTGCGTCCTGCATTTGGAATGGGGAGAGCTTTCAAACCATGTCATTCCCACTCTGCTGTCCTACTCTGCTTCCTGTGGTAATGCCTGCTAAAGAGGAGCTGCTTGGATTTTATAGAAAACACGGGGCTGCTGGTTGATGGTCACATGCACGAGCCTTTTGAGCCTCACTAAACTAACAGACTGGACTGGGGCATCCTCTCCACCAGTCAGATTACTCACAGATTTTTAGGATTTCATTCATAGGAATCACAGATTCATAAAGTTAGCAACTCATGAAACAGCTGGGAGCATGGAGGCACCCATCACCCAGTTATCCAATGAGGCTATTGACCCTGGCATGGGATTGGTTCATGTCCTAAGATGTGTAGGCGGATATCCTGGGGCCGGTTATTGTAGCATCTGGCCCCAAATTAGCGTGTGAATGGGTTGTGGCCCAGTTGGATTCAAATGGTGACAGAACACTAGGTCATTGTAGATCTGAACAATAATAAGCAAAGAAGTGGAGAGTGTTAGTCTTGTGAATAATCCTGCACTAGCCTCCTAAGAACATTAATTTATTTGTTCTAGCCACTTAGAGCCCATCACTTGAGAATATTTCCCTCCTTCGAAGTCTGAATATCTTTGATGCTTTCTTTAACTGGAAGCTTTACAAAAGCAGTGTATGGGCTTCTTGTTTTATTATTGGTGGTTAGGTACTAGTGGTGAGTGATGTACTCTAAACCTAACTTAACTAAACCCAGCCATCCTGCTGGGGTAGGGGCCCATCCCACTGCTCAGAAAGTTGGCCAGCAGCTCTGGTTAGACAGCCCTCAACCCCACGGCAGGACAAGGAGCGTAATTGCGGAACAACTTTCATGCTCCCGTCGACAGGCATCATCAGAAACCACAAGCTCCGAAGTCCAGGGTCTAACAGCCCAACAGAGATGGCAAGTGGTCTTAGTGAGCGGAGCGCTGGGCAACTCCGTGCCAACAGGGAGGGTGCCGCAGCAGCGGGAGCAGAGAGTCTGCGGAGAGCAGAAAGCAGTCTGGGGAGAGTCCTGGGCATCAGCTCCATCCTTACATGGACCAGCGATGAGACGTTCACCTGGGGAGGACATGGGTTATTCTTTCTGCCTGCAGCTATTTCCAGATGACAGTACTTGACATTAAGGAAATGTGAACGAATTATTTGAGATGATTCATTTAAATAAGTAGTTTTTAATCCTGGCTGTCCGTTAGAATTACATAGGAAAATGTTTAAGTCCTACAGCCCAGAGCTACAGATTTAATTTCTCTGGGTGAGCCCCGAGTAATAGTATTTTTTAAAGCCAGGTGATGTGTTGAAAACCTCTGATTTCAAGAAACTTGGGTTTTTAGAGTTACTGTGTCTCCTGCTTTCACCATAACCCTGCCCTCCCCTCTGCCCTGCAGACATAGCCTGTGCTTCCTCTCCTGGTTCCCTGCTCACGTGAGCTGGTGTGGCCACTTTTTCAGAAACCAGTCTAGGCCTCAGGCAGCTCCAAGGCCACTCAGAATCCAAGGATGCTGCAGAGCGCCATTTCCTCAGTGAACCTCGGAATGCTTCGGAGCATGGAGTCCCTGTTACTATTTCAGACAATGAACTGGCAAGCATTACTTTTATTTTAAGGTTTAAAGGTTTTTAATTAATATCTTGTGCTCTTTTTCTATAGCTTCAATAAATAAATTGAGTCTGATAAAAAAAAATCAAGGAAAAAAGATGGCTTCTTGTTTTTTTAGTTAATTCATTTACATATTCAATATTTTTGAAAGATCAAAACAAGAAGCCCTTCTAAGCACAAACCAGGTTTACCCTGGACAGGAAGAAAGGGTGTTCTATGCAAGGACTGTGTCCTTTTATCTTGCTGTGGCCCAGAAATCAGGAGGCCTTGGCCCCAGGCTCCGCCCCCTCGCCAGCTCTGGGGGCCTGAGGCCACAGGGGTGCAGGATTTCAAGGTGCTGCCTCCCGGCCCTGGTGTGACCTGCATGCAGGATGGGGCCGCGGTCTCCAGTCTAGACTGGTTCCCTGCCTGCCTGTCTCCTCCTTCCTCACCGCTACACAGAATCCTGTTAACCTCAGTATTTTAATTCCATAGGCATTCCAGAAGTGTTCCTTTATGGATGTAAATTCAAACAGTCACGCTGAGCAGTCCCGGGCTGACAGTCACGCTAAAGACACTAGGCCGGGGGCCACAGTCTCACCCAAGGAGAAGAAGGTAACGTGGCAACTACACCTCTGCCACGCGCTCCATAGCCCTTCTTTCCTTGCTCTGACACTAACCGCTCCTGCGCTTGTCCTTCTGTGCCCTCTCCTTTCCTCTCACCTTTAAAAAGACAATGAACTGAGACACCGCTTTGCATTTAGTTCAGAGATAACTGGCTGAGGTTTCCTGAGCAGATGCATCGTTTCTGTGCACAATAGTGTGTGCAGAACTGAGGCATTATCTTCACAAACTAAAGTATATGCATCTTTCAAGATTGTCTAGAATGACTCTTACTGACACACACACACACACAAAAAGAAACACCAGCTAAGGTTGTAGCACTTTTCTCATTTTTAACATAGCTCCTGGACCAAAGCATCTATATTAAAAATCGGTGAAAGCTGTAGATTCCAGGAAGGAAGCTCAGGGCGAGGCTGCACGCCTGCAGCCATCCACAGGCGCATGCTCATGGAAACACACACATGTATCTGCACACATGTTTAAAGATGCCCAACAGAATTCTCTTATGTTACAAATTCTCCAAGTGGACCGTCCAGGAGAAGAAGTTCAGTATAGTTTTAATGCTAATACACTTTGTGGCATTCGAATGGCTTCGAAACAGATGTCCAGGCTCTGGAACAAAGTTCATCGTCATGACCTGAGAACTTTAGGGAGAGGACGTGAGCCTGAGTATCTCTGAACCTCAACATTAAGTTAGACCTGGAGCTTTTATGATGTTTGGGCAATAGAGCCATCTTATGGGAATGAAGCCGCTGTCCAAATGCCAGGCTAGAAAGCTGACCAACTCAAGTCTTAACACGTCTCACCAGAAGGTACATTTCGGAGTTCAGAGGTTCTAGTTGCCCTTAAATGAAGTTAAACATCTCGGCTAGTGCATTGCGACTCCAAGTGGGCACCACGGTCCGTGTGCATGTAAGCTCAGTGAGGAGCTCAAGGGTCACGAAGTCACGAAGTCAGAAGTTATTCTAATATAACCCTGCAAGAGACACAGCCTGGTGGCTGCAGCCCCCCCCGCCTGCTCCTGCCTGGCTCACAGCACCCAGAGACCCTGTGTACAATGAGTCTGCACAGGAAGCCGGTAACCAGGCAACGTGCAATCTCCCAGTACATCATGGGAGATTATGACATTATTGTTGATAAATCTCATGATAAAAACCTCCTACTAATTTGGATTGAATCCATGACAATCATATTGGAAATACTATTTTTTCCCCCAGTCTCTGGAAATCCCTTATGTGGCTTTATTAAAATCAGGCCATGAAAAGCCCTAGCATATTTGGACCAATGGGACTATTTTTGTCTAAAACACTAGAAACTGGGAACTTCTTGAAGATCCTCTAAAGACGATTATTGTCTCATTGTAGAATTTTGTTAATTGCCTTGAAATTTGCTTGAGATGTTTTGTCCAGCAATTAGAAACCCATATCCCGCCCATCTCTTTTATCTCAATCAGGGGTCCATCAGCTAATAATAAGCAGGTCTGTATTGAGTGCCCAACACTGGGTTTAATCACAGGTGCTTATTCTAGATTATTATACTTAGGTTGATCTACTCCATAATAGCAGCATCAGATTTATATTTGAGTATTATATACAATCGGTTTCAGACTTGTCCCCAAATTGTTGTCATTAACCTCTTCCTAGGCTACGCTCCTCCTTTTCTATACCTCTTAAAATATTTCTCCTGTCATCAGAAAGCATTAGCCTAGTTCTTGACTTTATGCAGTAGTCCTATAATTCTGTCTCTAATTCTGGTTTATTGCCCGTATGCGTATTGAGCCTGCTTCACCAGTTGTCTGAATAATCCAAATCTCAGAGCCCATAAATAAATATTAATGAGGCTTAATTATTCATTCTTGACTAAGAAATCATTGTGAGGCTACATGACAGTTGTGACCATGCTACTCTGAATAAAGTTAATGCACTTGCTTTGATACACCCATTCTTTTTCTAGCCCAGTGACAAAAATGGTAGGTCATGTGAAACCTAAGCTTGCCAACTTTATCCTAGTGACCTTCCATTGGAGTATTCCTGCTATTCGATCTGTCTTATGCACATCTCACATAGCGGCATTCCAAATATTTCATGATGGGTATGGCACGCGCCCTGACCAATGAGTACAGAGAGCAGGTCTACCCCCCAGCACCTGGGCCAGCGGAACTGGCATCTTCTTTACGTCATATGGCTATTCCTTCCCTGATTCAGGGATAAATTCTCACACAGGTCTTAACGTGCTAACTCCGCAGTTGGAATGGAAACCTTAGGCCCAAGCCTCATTTCTTTTTCATAAAACCTTTTACTTGTTGTATTAGTTGTTTAATCATCTAAATGTAAAAATCCACAAAAGATATTATGTCGTTCAACTACAGCAGCTGAGTCATTCATTGCTCTTGTTTGGGGCCCTCCTGGGGGTAAGGAGAAGTTAAACTGGTGGTGTTGGCTGGCTACTGCACCTCGTACCTTGTGTGATCTTTCCGTGTGACGTATAGGGACTCTGTTGTTTGTGTATTATCCCTTAACCTGTATGAACGTTCCTTCCACTTTTAACCAGGGTAGCAGGACTGCTCTGGGCTGACTTTGGTGGGGGCCTGGGTTACTGCGCTTTGTTATGCTGTTGTTGCTGTAACCAAACAACCTTGTTGGGGTTGTGTCCCATCCTACTAAACACAGCTCTTCCTCTTGGGCCTCTGCACCGAGAAGAAAGGACAGCAGTGCCCTGGCAATGTCAGGGCACAGTTAGTGTGAGCGTTGTCACAGGGCCGGGCTACCGACACAGCCATGGGGGAAGGGTGCGCTTCCGGGGGAGCCCTCTACATCCTGGTCCTCCGTGCTGGGCTCTTCCGTTTGGAATCTCAGTGAGAGCCTCGGGATGCCTCTTTGTTCTGCATCGGACTATCTAGCGAATAAAACCTTATTTATGATGTGCCAGTCGCAATCTGAACCTCAGATTTCCGTTTTGTAAATGTTTAGATGATTTTTTAGCAGCATTATCATACTGAGTTTGCATTTGATCTTCTTGGTGTGATTGCTTTGAAGGCTATTTTGACACTTTTCTTGGCAAGTGCAAGTACAAACTGTGAGTGTATTTCAGTCTGTCATTTGAAAAGAAATGTCTTTTTTTTTTTTTTTTATCTCAAAGTCCTACACCCTACCAGTGCAGATTTCCTTGGAGGATACTTTCCATAAACAAAACTGATAGGACTGAAATAACTAGCTGGGAGGGACGTGAAAAATCTGCTGGTCTAGTGCCTCAGTTTATAAGCAAGAACACTGAGGCCCAGAGAAGTGGAGTGACTTGCCTGAAGTGACACAATTAAGCAGCAGGCAGAAGATGTTGATTCTGCCTGCTGACATGGTGGCACACCACGCTGGTTCCCGCTTCTGCCAAGCTCACTGTCAGATGTAGAAAAGAGGACGTTTCCTACAGAATCAGTCCCTTTATTCTCCTCACTGCTCCCCCACCAGACTTGAATTTCTTAAAATATTTTGCTAATTTAGATTTTCATCTTATGCAAACACAGGGCATTTTTGGAAGTTGGCGAACAAAGCAGCCCAAGGTAAACAGAGCTATAGGCTTTGGACTAGTGGCCCAAAAGTGGTGGTAACATTTGTGGTTGGCCCGCATGTTTTGGAAATGTAATTAAAGGAGCAGTTTAGTTATAGTCCACTTTGGGGGTGGGTGTGGTTTTGTGGAGTAACATGTCCTACACTATCCTACCAGAATTTGGAATTTTTCCACGAAGACGTACGGAAATCTGATGTTGAATATGAAAACGGCCCCCAAATGGAATCCCAAAAGGTGAGTTTCCCCATTCGTGTTCCAGCCGATACTATACAGATTAATTAGCCTCCTTTGCAGATCCATTTCTGATTAATGCATGTCATTTTCCTCCTCCACTCTCCCTCGCAGGTCACCTCGGGGGCTCCTACACCTAGTGACCACCCTAAGTGGGAAAGAGGAGTGGAGAATAGTATTTCTCAAGAGCATCAGAATATAAAACTGACATCAAGAACATCAGATATTCTTGATGCCTCAAGAACATCCGAATATAAAACTGACATCTTAATGAAGGAAAATTCCATACCCAATAAGAGTTTACTTAGAGACAGTAGAAACTATTCCCAGAAAAATGTGTCTAAGGTCAGTTCCAATTTCCCTGGCACCAGTTTGTTAGAAGATGAAATAAGCAAAGGGCCTAAAACCTCAGGGCTGCAGGGCCCTCCATCTGACCCTGAGAACCAGAAGATGAATTATGGGAAGACAAAAGAGATGGCTCCACGAGATCAAGAAAATGCAGATAGATGTCACTTCCCCTCACCCACTAGGTCAACTGAATTGAGTATTTGTGATGTCCAAACTCAAGATCAAGAGGTTCCTGTGACAGAGTTTGGCCAAGTCGTGCTAAGACCCAAGGGGGGTTGGCATGGGAATAACGGAAAGCCTAACGAGGACAGAGAATCAACCCCGAGTTCTCCCACCGAGGAAAGTGGGCCCACGGACAACATCGCCTTCATGATTACCAGGACTGCGGTCCAGGTTCTCTCCAGCGGGGAGGTCCGCGAGATAGTGAGCAAGAAGGGAGAAGATGTGCAGACGGTGAACATTGATGCCAAAAAAGAGATGACTTCCCAACAAGAAGGGACTGAAAATGAAGAGCCAGTTGTGTGCCTAGACAAGAAACCAGTCATCATCATTTTTGACGAACCCATGGACATCCGATCTGCGTATAAGAGACTTTCAACTATATTTGAGGAGTGCGATGAGGAATTAGAGAGAATGATGACAGAGGAAAAGATAGAAGAGGAGGAAGAGGAGGAAAATGGAGACGCTGTGGTCCAGAATGACACTTCCCTAAAGTTCCATAAGGCCGTGTCAGGCCCCGGCTCAGGACTGCAGGCCGAGAGCCGGTTGCAGCCACACTCCGTCTCTGGAGATGCCGGAGTGTCAGGAGGACAGGGAGTGAATAAGGCCGAGCTGGCCACGAGCGGCGGAGCAGACTCTCCAGGTTCAGAAAGCAAGTGCGATGGGGCATACGACCAGTCAGAGAGTCCCAAGAAAAAGTTCAAGTTCAAATTCCCTAAAAAGCAACTCGCCGCCCTCACGCAGGCAATCCGCACAGGAACCAAGACGGGGAAGAAGACCTTGCAGGTAGTGGTCTACGAAGAGGAGGAAGAGGACGGCACTCTGAAGCAGCACAAAGAAGCCAAGCGGTTTGAAATCCCTCAGTCTTCTCCGCCCGAAGACGCCCCCCAACACAGGCTCCGGAGACAAGGGCAGCCCGGGCTGGAGAACATGTCCTCCCTCTCCAGAACGGACGAGATTAGGAATAACACCTACAGGACCCTGGACAGCCTGGAGCAGACCATCAAGCAGCTGGAAAACACCATCAGTGAAATGAGTCCGAAAGCCCTCGCGGATACCTCATGTTCTCCCGGCAGAGATTCTGCTACAAGCTCATCCCACATAGCCTGGGAGGCCTCCTCTCCCCGAGCCTTGCTAGTCCTGGAAGAACCTCCCACTGCCCTAGAGCCCCCCTCATCCATCCCTTCAGCTTCACGTAAGGTATCTTGGTCTGGTGGAAAATGAAAAGGCCCAGCCGCTTTCCTAAATCTGCCATAATCACCGTTAGCCAAAGGTGTCTTGTGATTGACTTGCTTCCTTTCAGGTGGCTCGTTTAATTATACTTGATTTATTTTTTATTTATTTTTGTCTGTTTGCCTTGATGCTTTTCTCTCACACTTCCTCCTCCCCTTCGAAAACAACAACAACTGGGTGTCTAACAGCTAATGGACTCTGGTTTTACCTCTGTGGCTGATTGGTGTTGGGTAGACAGCGCAAGGATGCCAGGTCATCCACTTGCCGTTGAAATGATTGCTCTGGCACTCACATTAAAACCCGTTTGATCAGTAGTGGAGCAGTTTATTCCGTTTGATTCTCGGAATTAACCCAGCGGTGTCTTCTGATGTCCGTCTTCCAGGCCTGTTCTGCATGGAGGGCTGTGGCTTCTCACGGTGAGCTTCTCGGCGATCACCCACTCATGTGCTGCCCTTCTCTCCCCCCTCTCGCTGCTCTTCCCCACAGGCCCCCAGTGGGACCCCGCAGACCAGCAGGATGCCCATCCCCATGAGCTCCAAGAGTAGACCCGGAAGCCTGGACAAGCCCGGCAAGCAGACCAAACTGCAGGATCCCCGCCAATACCGTCAGGTAGTTTTACCTTAAAAGCGGTTTTGGATGGACACGTGTGCAGTGGTGAAGCAAGTTGCTGACCTAGTTTATACCAAACGCTGTGTTTTCCTTGTAAGCTATGGTCCGTGTAGACTTCCTGGATCTGGGGCATGAAAAAAGTCTCAAAAACCTTTGTTGAACTCTTCTCCACGCTTTTGCATGCTTGCAATAAAACATCGTTTACTTTGTGAGTCCCAAGGTTAGCTATTAACACAAGCTGCCTCGCAGGTTGGCTTTTCTTTGGCGAATGTAGTGGTTCACCAGAACGCCCCGAGACGCCGAGTAGGCAGGCCTGTGGTTGAACTGTCCTGGAAGTCTCCCCCACTAACTAACGGACATGCTGATTGCATTGCATTAGAGGCACATTAACCTCCACGCCCCGCCCTCGCCCCTGCGTGACCCAGACGCATGGCTGACCCAGCCCCAGACATGGTCTGCCTTCTTCCTTTCTGCACCCTCCGCTCTGTACTTTGGGGTCTTCTCCCAGGTCCAGCACAGCACAGTGAGACTTAGCTCAGGCCTTGAACTGGTTTGGTTGGGTTGGATGTCTTTTATTTAATGATTCTCAGAAGGGCTGTGTTGCCAGACCCTGTGGAACGATCGGTCGTGTTACCAGCTTTCTGACAAACTGTCTCCCGCCATCTTTATTTGCAGGCTAATGGAAGTGCTAAGAAAGCTGTTGGGGACTGTAAGCCTGCTTTCCCCTCCTTACCTGCCTCTAAGATTCCAGCCCTTTCTCCCAGCTCTGGGAAAAGCGGCTCTCTGCCCTCCTCTAGCGGTGACAGCTCTAACCTCCCTAACCCAGCTGCTTCTAAACCACCAGTTACTTCTAACCCTCTCAGCCCCCAAACAGGACGATCCGCCTCCTCCGCCTCCCTCATCCCCTCTGTCTCTAATGGCTCCTTGAAGTTTCAGAGCCCCACTCACACAGGTAAAGGTCACCATCTTTCATTCTCACTGCAGACTCCCAATGGCCGAGCAGCCCCTCCCTCCTGCTCCTCCTCCCCCCCCTCCCCCGCCTCCCCCACTTCACTGAACCAAGGTGCCCGGAGCATCAGGACCATCCATACCCCCAGCCTCACCAGCTACAAGGCACAGAACGGAAGCTCCAGCAAAGCCACCCCGTCCACAGCAAAGGAAACCTCTTAAAGGCCACATCCTATAGGCACAAGCTGGAGTCACATTTAAAAATTTAGGGGAAAAATTGTATCAGTCTTCTAACAGCTGTTTTCATAAGAGAATGTAACATATTGCTGTGCTGTTTGGGGATGAGTAGATTTCAGTAAAGCTTGTTGGGTTTGGTTTTGTCTTTTTAGTTGTTGCTATTGTAATTACATAGTGTTAACTGTCTGTATTCAACACCTGTTAAGTGAAGCAAGCACGCGTTACAGGAAGAGAGTATGGCGAGAGAGAAGGGTGTATGTGAGACAGGAAAAGAAAAATGTATTCAGCATGTAAAACATGTATGATTCCAGAATTTTAGTATGTTTTGTATAAAAATATTTTTCATTACGGAGACTAGAAGTAAACAGAGAAATACTCAAGTGTGACTATACAAATTGTAAAAGAGATACTATAATATTTCCTTTTATTTTAGTGTTATTTAGCTTTATTACAGATTTCTATTTTTGTCAAAACTCCATGGTTCCTTTCAAGATCTTTTTTGCCAAAACATTTTGATACTAGAGCATTGTACATTTGAAAGTAGTGTCTAGACAACAGGCCAACCCAGGGTCATATGTAGAAAGCAATTTATCAAACCAATTGCACTGCCATGAAAATTATGTATAATAATTTGCCAGCCCAAGCAAGCTAGCTTTCTTTGCATTGCTTTCTTCTTCTTCTTCTTCATTTTTTTTTTTTTAACATATTGGGATTCTCTAGTTGTTTTCTTTGCAGTATCTAACCCCTTCCTTTGTTTTTTGAGACCTGAAAACCCACACTATTACAGTACGTTGTGGATTTTAAAGTGTAACTTCTGTACTGTTCTGTACACTGATAAACCTTTGTAAATATATAAATAGACATAAAAACACTATATGTGACAGCACATAGAGTAGTTTTCCCACACCAAAGTTAATTTTTATGCATGCTTTAAAAATATATATTGGGATGGGCAGAAATTGGATTCTCCATACATTTTTAAAAAGTAACAAGTTTGCACAGCTAGAGTGTTTTTGTAAATAACTGTATTTGTATAACACAGTCATGTAATATACAGAACTATAAGCAGAGACTTTGCAAAACTAATAAAGGGCTGCATGCTTCTTATTTTTTGTACCTTGATACTATAGCTGCGTCCTAGGCAGAGAATGAGACGGAACTATTGCCAAGGGAATGGTTTGGGTGTTAGGGCGTCATCAGTGCCGTGTAACCAGCCTCAAACCTGTGTTCCGAAAGCTCTGGGGTGACTCACAGTGAGCTCTTGTGAGTTCACTGCGAGTGTGGTGCCTTCTGACGTGACCTGCTGACTCTCTTCTCGGAGGCTCACCAAGGTTTAGCTGACGGAGAGCAAACCTGGGCACAGAGCCTCCACCTTCACTTCCAGAGAGGTTCTTCCGACCGGCTTTTTCCTGTTTGAATTCCAGGAGAAGTAAGCTGAAATAAAATGTCATTATCACTAGGATGCGTTTTCTTTGTGAGTGTGTGTGTTTGTTTTGTTTTGTTTTAGTTCTCAATTTTAAACAAATATTATTGGTCCAAAGGGAAATATAACTAACATTACACTTAGTTTTCCTTCAAAAAATAGGGGTAAAGATTAGTGAAAATAATGCCAAGATTACTAATGGACTGATAAACTTTTGTAAATATATAAAGAGACATGCCATATAAATAGGCTGTTCTTGTAAGAACGGTCTCAGGAACCTGCTTATCATTACTTGTGGCCGCCAAAATACTTAACTCGGTGGTTTCATATAAAATGCAATATTTCTTAGTACTCTAGCACATGGTTGGTAGTGCTTTTAACCTTCAGGTTTGTGTGCTGGCATGCCTTCACCAGAAATATTTTACCCTGTCTCTACCCATTATATAACTATAATCATGTGCTTTACGTATGTTGCGCTCAGGAAAGTTGCCTTATACCTTCTAGGGATCAGAGGTTCCAACGTTTCAATTATGTCCTGGAATCGACCCAACAGCCCAGTCTGTTAACATAGGTGTAATAGCTACTGCACGCCCACATATGTGCTCCTATGTATGAACAGCTGAGACTGTTGGTCAGCAGCTAACGAACAGATTGTGGTTCGTGCTTTCCATGCAACTTCAGACTTCCCACACCTCTGGCAGGACATACATGTGAGGACCAATAACGGGTTCACCAGAGGGGGTCGGGAAGGACTCAACATGCCCCCTGGCGAAGACCCAGCGAGGTGCTGCCTGCCTCCTCAGGAAGTCGGAGGGGGAACCATCACCATCGGAGGAGCTGCCTGCCACACTTAAAAAAGGCACCTCGGTTCCTTTTACAGCTCAGGTGGGTGATATTTGATGGGCGGCTGCTGGATGTTTAGATTTTTGTTAAAATACTATTAGTAGACTCTCTACATTATCTTTTCAGTTCATCAACTAACAAATTGTTACATCGGAAAAAGATCCTTAAAAATAAACCACAGGGGCTTCTCAAATCCATTCAAATCATAATCGGGGCCACGGGCTGGTGCTGCAGCCTTGGGTATGTCTCAGTTTTCTCATCAGTGATGGAGAATAAGAAAGGAACCTAGGATTGATGAGAGGATTAAGTGAGATGCACAGAAAATTCCTAAGGCAGATCCTGACACACATCAGGATTGTGGTCTCCTTCGGCACTTCTGCAAGGATGGCTCTCCAGAGGCTCCCGTGGGGAGGGGACGGCGCACACAGGCGGTGGAGGAGTCAGATGTTTGGCGCAGGCCAGGCGCTGGCGCTGGGCCCTTGCAGGTGCGTCACAGAGCTGTCCATAGTGCTGCCGCATTGAGGAGGATGCTCTTTTAGTGCTGCTTACTAGGATTGTCTCCAAAGTAAGACAAAGACTTAGATAGATTTGGGGCCGAGCCACGGCCCTGGACCCACAGCCATAGAAGAGAGAGGTGGGGTTTCAGGCTTGGGAGAAAGTGCACCTCAATCACTCACCCCAGAGCCCACTGGCAGTGAGGGGTGGAGCTGGTGCCCATCCCTGAGCCAGTGCCAGGGCAAGACCCATGGCCAAAAGGAGATGTTCCACTGGGCACTGAGAGCGGGTTTGGCTGCCCACCCCTCTGCCCCCAGCCAGATAAAAGGACAAATCAGGCGCTGCCGCCTGCCCTGCAGTGGGGACTGGCTTCCTCCTCCTCTCCCCCGTCAGTGCGGAGGCATTGGACAGCAACCAGGAGATTTTGGGAGGCGGCAGAGGAATGAAGGCTGCTTCTACCGAATGTGCAAAGGGTAATTTTGCAAAAGTAACCGGGTGACCTTGTCTAGGAAAATGCATCACAAGGCACAGGCCACCGCACACACTCCGACCTACTGTCCTGAGGAGGTCTTGTCCAAAGGGGACAAAGTGATCCCAAGAGCACTTTTGAGGAGAGAACCCCAGACCTGTCAGGGCTCCTGCCATCCAGCTACACAGCCACGTTCAAGGTCAAGGCTCACCCTGAGTGGTCGGCAAACTCATTAGTCAACAGAGCCAAATATCAACAGTACAACATTTGAAATTTCTTTTGAACTTAAACTTCTTCTAATACCACTTCTTCAAAATAGACTTGCCCAGGCCACTCAACGGGGCCAAAGAGCCGCATGTGGTTTGTGAGCCACGGTTTGCTGACCACGGCTGTAGTGGTACCCAGGCCCCATATTGCTATGCAGACTGCACATTTTTCAGTCCCCATCTTTGGCTTTTTTAAAGGGCTTTACCTACAAAGATTCCATATTAAACAAATGAGATTAAGTCTCTTTCCAAGCTTGCACCTTTACCAGTCAACATCCCTCGGTGGGTTTGGGGCATAGATGGTCCCTATCACTGGCGAGCTGCATCCGGCCGCTCTGCCAGGGGAAGCAATATTAGATTAAGCCTAAGATTACAGACGGATCAGAGATCCAAGATTTCTCAGGAAGGAGACGATCGTCTTTGGCCTGTTCTGTAGCCTTTCCTGGGTCTTTCCCGCTTGCTGGCTTTGTGCCCCTGGCCTGAATGCACCAATGCCTCAGCACCTCTGCCCTCTGCATCCCTGGCCCGGAGCCTGCCCTTCCTGAGGCAGAGGGTCTCCCTGTCCTGAGCCAAGAGAAGTGCTTCTTGCCCTGACATCTGCTCCGGGAAATCCCGCCAGGAGGTTGTGTTTTACTCACAAGAAAGATTTCACTCGCCTAGGATGAAGTCAGGGAAGGAAGCTCAGGGATAAACAGACTATGGGGCGGTGCCTGCAATCAGCACTCTCTGTTTTCACCCGCCGGCAGCCTCAGTGAAGGGACCTTGCCAGTCTGCACACCTTACATGGCCGGGACCCAGAATGGCCTTTCACTGAGTGACCCCAGAGAAAGGGGCCATGACCTCCCTCTACCCTCCTGTCCCTTCTGTGTCAGTTTCCTCAGGGGTGCTGCCAGGGGAAAGCAGGCATTCCTGCCCTAGGGGATCCGGCTACTCCCTGCCCTTGGTCTTAGCCCAAACCACCTGCCCCATCGGCCCCTTCATTCCAGCCACCTCTAGCCTTAGACAAGCATTCCCTCTACCTGGAATATTCTCTCCAGGAAATCCGGATCAGGACCCCTGCTAGAGCACCCTCCTGCATAGCGCTTAGCGGGTGTGTGTGTGTGTGTGTGTGTGTTAGGGTCTGAAGTACATAATAAGAACAGGAATTCATGTCTGCACATACTCCCAAAGGGGCCCAGGGCAGAGCCTGCTACAAGCCACGAAGGACCATGCTCCTCTGTGAGACACAGGTCAGTGAGGGGAACAGGTGGCCTCACCCTGTTTCTACAACTTATCCGGGAAGGTTCTGCAGGGTTTTAGGAACAACTGTTCACCTGCTGCCACTTAGCGGTCATTTCTGGAACTTCCTCTAGGAGATTAGTGGAAGCCTTGCCCTTCACTAAAATCTCTCAACTTCATTTCCCTTTTGCCACAGCTGTGACAACGCACAGCCCGCGGGCAGTGTGCCTCTGCGGCCCCGGATGGAAGTGTGAGGCAGGCGGCACTTTTC